TCTGTTATGCGTGTAAAAAGGAAATCCATACTGAAACTGTCAAATGTATACCTTGCTTAAAAAGTTTTCATCCGAGCTGTGTTCAAAAACATAAAATATGGAACAAGGATAACGAGTTGATTACCTGCACAGGCAAAAGAGAAAGTAAAAGGCGCAACAAAGAAAAGGAGAAAGGAGAGACAGCAGGATCTAATAACGAGGAAAGAACGGGAAAAGCAGATAGAAGAATGGCTGAAGAGGGGACAGGAAAACAAGGTATAGAGCAAAAGGATACAACAGCAAAAACTATAGTAAAAGAAAAAGAAGAGGATGCTCTAAAGCAGCAGACGAGAACAAAAAATAAACTAATGGAAGATAATGTTGAGAAGATTTTGAAAATAGTTAGAGGGATGAAGGATGACAATGTAGGTAGAAACGAAATAAGAAAAATTGTAATGGAGGCTGTAGGAGAAGAATTGAGGAACCTCCGACAGGAAATAGAACAAATAAAACAAGCAATGTCAAAAATGAATAAAATCCAAAGCAACGAGTCTAGAAGCGCCTCAAAAAGCTACGCGGAAGCAACAATAAAGACAAGAAAAACAGAAAATATCCTGATTGTAAAGCCAAAAGAAAAGCAAGAGAGTGAGACAACTAAGAATACTGTGCTCGAAAAAGTTAAGATAAATATGTTACCGATAGGGGTATCACGAATGACGAAGGGAAACAAGGGAACAATTATTATAGGTTGTGAAAGCGGGAAAGAAGTAGAACAACTGAAAACATCAATGGAAGCAACAATAGGAAAAGACTTTGAAACGATAATACCTAAGCAAAAGCAACCAAAGATCAAAATAATTGGAATTGACCAAGAAGAAATGGAACGGGATGACCAATCATTGATAGAAACAATTAAAATACAGAATGAGCTAGCAGAAAGAAGCGAAAGGCTGCATCTGAGAATTCTAAAAAGAGGATTAATGGAAAAGAAGAATGAAGGAGAAAGTAGAAGAGAGGCTGGAAGTCTTATACTTGAAACGGATGTAGAAACGCACACAAAATTGTTAAATAAAGGAAAAGTAAATATTGGTTGGAGGAAATGTAAGGTCTACGACTTTGTAAGTGTAATGAGATGCTTTAAGTGCTGGGGATTTAACCACATGGCAAAACACTGTAGAAAGGAAGAAACTTGTCAACACTGCGCAGGAAATCACAAAGGAAATGATTGTAGAACAAAAAAGAAAAAATGTATAAATTGTTTGGAGAAAATCAAAAGGTATAATAACAACAACATTAAGGATGATCATGAAGCAACAGATAGGGAATGCCCAACGTATCTAAGAAAAATAGAAGAGGAAAAAAATAGAAGGACAGATGAAGGCGAATAGCAACGAATAATAAAAGAAAATCACCTTTTTATATGCTCAAATATAAGAGGTCTATTACTTCATAAGGATGAGATGGAAATTCAAATATTTAAAAGAATAGGTCCAATAGTAGTAGCACTAACAGAAACAAGATTAACTGAGGATATCGATTACTCCGAAATTAATATAACAGGATATAGTGCGGTGAGATGCGATGGAGAGTCGAGAGCGACGGGAGGAGTAATAGTATATATAAAAGAAACGATTAAACATAAGATACTATTCAAGAGGAAAATAGTAGGGAATTATTGGTGTGTAGCGATGTGGATAGATGCTGGAAAACTATATAAAGGGGCAGTAGCGGCTGTGTATCACTCACCGAGCGCGTCAGATGCATGTTTTGTGGAAGCTATAGAGGAGATTAGTGAAGAGTTAAATACAAAAGGAGAATTCGTAATATTAGGAGATTTTAATATAGACATGAGTGCAACAACATTTTATGCCAAAAAAGTAGTAAAAGACTTATTAGCTATAGGAGTTAAGCAATATGTAAAAGAGGCAACGAGAATTACAGATAGAAGCCAAACAGTGATAGACCTAGTCTTTTCGAATAGCAATAAGAGAGTATGTGTAAAACACACGCCAATGATAACGGATCATGCTTGGGTACTAATACTACTAAGGAGATGCAATAATAATGAAACGCAAAAGGAATTTAGAACGAGAGATAGGAAGAAAATAACGGCAGATCGATTCGAGGAAGTATGGAGAAAGGTAAAAGAGAAAAATAGGCAATATGAGACAGTAGACGAAAAAGCAGATGGATTAATTGAGGATATAATAAATATACTAGATACAATAGCGCCAAAAAAGAAATTTAAAATACCTAATAAATGGATCGATAAGAAATGGTACACGGAGGAGATTAAGCAAATCACAAAACAGAGGGATACCGCATATAAAAAAGCAATAAGAACAAAGGATAGAGCAGACTGGGAACAATATAAAACATACAGAAA